CCGAACTTGCCGCTGCAGCCACGTTTAAGTTGACTTTGTCCGTGTCGACACCGTCTAGGAGGACTCAGCCCTGCACCGGCCCGTAGAAGCGCATGAGGAGCTTCTCGGTAGGCTGATTTACAGGGCCCATGTAGCTTAATCATCTGTTGTACCCCACGGGGTAACATGCCTATAGTGGTTTAGTCCAAGGATGCAAAGTCCCTGCAGTCGGGCGTCGGCTCGGGTCAGCCCGTAAGACAGTCGCATCCTCCTCATATATGCACTCCACACCGCTTGCTTGGCACCCATCTCATCTCACCCGGGTGAGATATGTAGAAATACTTGCCTGAAGGTCCCGATCGGTCACCGGCCCGCCGCTCTCCTCTTCTTTTCTCCCTTACATCTCGCCATCGACAGTCGACGCTGGGAAGACGGTAAGAAGAAAAAAGGACAGCAACCATGGCCACCGTCACCACCACCGTCACCTCGGAATTCGACATGACGACCTACTCGCCCGCAGCCACGGCTACGACACCCGTGGCCCGACCATTGTCCAACGAAAAAGCCCCAGGTCCCTCCCGCACCGTATCCGTCGCCGACGTAGAGCCACAGGATGCCCAGCTTGCCACGCAGTCGCTCTGGGCCACGACCCTGTTGATTACCACCCTCTGCGGCGTCACGTTCGCGAGCAGCATGACGACCGGCCTGCTCGCTGTCGCGCTCCCCACCATGGCCAGGGAACTCGACATAGCCGATGGTCTTCTGCTCTGGTAAGCCGGACTCAGCGGCCCCCTCCCCCACCAGATAACCATTGACTGCCGGAAACTAATCAAGGCATTTGTCAGGCCTGCCTCCATCTACGGGTACGTATGTCGTCGCGCCCACGACTTCCAATCCCTAAATGTTGTGAGTGGGGAGGGAGGGTTTGTAAGATGTTGCTGACAGGATCCCCCACTAGTCTGACATGCGGCTGCTCCCTGCTCATCGCGGGGTCGGTCGCCGACATTGTCGGAAGCCGCCGGGTCTACATCGCCGGCTGTTTTCTCCTGACGGGCTTCGTCCTCGGCAGCGGGCTGGCCCAGAACTTCACGCAGCTCGTCGTCTTCCGGGCCGGCCAAGGCATAGCCGCCTCTATGTGCCTGCCGACGGCCATCAGCCTGCTGGCCTCGTCCCTGCCCGTCGGCAAGCGCCGCAACGTTGGCTTCGCCTTTGCCGGCGCCAGCCAGCCGCTGGGCTACTCCATCGGCCTGTTCCTCGGCGGCTTCTTCGTCGACTCGGTCGGCTGGAGGTGCGGCTGGTACATGAGCGCCGCCGCCTCCTTCGTCGTCTTCCTGGCTGCCGTCTTTGGCATTCCGACACGCGCCGGCGGCCGCTCTCTGTCGGGTTCCGTCTGGAAACGTCTCGCTTGGGACATTGACTGGGTGGGCGCCGTCTTGGCGAGCGCATGCTTCGGCATGCTGTCGTACGTTTTGGCGTACGTCACCCCCCCCCCCCCCTTGAAAATTACATCTCGTCTGGCGACGCTCACACACCGGTTTACAGGGTTATATCCGACGATAGCCAAAGAATCAAGCACACGACGCAAATCGTCTTACTCTGTGTTGCCGGCGGCTGCCTGCCGTCGTTTATCCTCTGGGTACAGCACCAGGAGAAGCACGGCAAACCTGCTCTGATCCCGAATTCTCTGTGGAAGGAACTGGCCTTCTCGTCCATTTGCGTCATGGTCTTCCTCACCTGGGCCATTGTGCACAGCCTGGAGTACTTGTTCAGCCTTTTGTAAGTCACAACGACACATAGCCATGAACAAGGGTCGATTGCCGCGCTAACAACAAGCTTCTCTCAGTTTCCAGGAAGTACAGGGCCTATCGGCCATTGAAACGTCTGTCCGCTTCATACCCAACATTGCTATTGGCATCGTCCAGACGCTTGCCGTCGGCCTGGTTCTCCATCGCACATCGGTGTACTGGGTTGTCTTCGTGGCCTGTCTGCTGACGGCCTTGTCCCCGCTTCTGATGGCTCTCAACAACCCGGCTTGGAGCTACTGGTACGCTGCCTTCTGGGCTGTGCTCTTATCCCCCATTTCAGGCGATAGTAAGCGCTCTCTCTCTCTCTCTCTCTCTCTCTCTCTCTTTCTTTTTCTCTCTCTCTATCCTGCCTGGCCCCCTCCACCACCTTGATGCGCGCCGAGGACTGACTGACGGAACTTATTTCTTGAACGATAGTCCTGTTTGTTGTTTCAGCACTCGTCATCACCGGCAGCTTCCCTGACAATACACACGCCCTGGCCGGTGCCGTGTTCAACACGCTGTCGCAATTTGGTGCATCCGTGGGTCTGGCCGCCGTTTCCCTTATATCATCGACAGTTTCGAGACAGTCCCACGCTCCGGCCGATCTTGTCCAAGGCTACCGCGCATGTTTCTGGACCCTTCTCGGTGCCGCTGCTTTTACATGCATGACGGGAGCTTTTGGGCTCAGGAGAGTGTCTGACAAGGGCATGAAGAAGGAGTAAGCCGTGGTTGATAGGAACTGCTCCCGCTCATGGGCCAACATCAGTTCATAGGTAGACGGCGACGCATCCGCACAGTCAAGAGGAATAAAATGGGGCAGCACTGGGAGGCCATAGAACAACAGCACAACACGATGGACCTTTTTTCGGGGCCGCGCAATAAATAAAGGCCTGTTGATTCTATTTTGTTTATTTTATATACTGCACCTCAACTACTTAGCCGCATCCTCTGCCCGCAGCATCGCGGCCAGTTCCTCCGCCCCCGGGGACAACTTGTCGAGCAGCGCCCTCGCCGCATCGGGACGAACAAGGCGGCTCGCTGGCGGCGGCTGCTCGAAAAGGACACAGTACACCACACCCTTTGATGCCCCATGCGGTTCAATGTGCAGCTTGCGTTTCTAGTTCCTAGTGTGCTTGACCGCAGCGACCCGCTGTGTACATGTACAATGCCTCTGAACGGAACAGTGGCTGACTTGTAGAGCACCCCCCGAGACGTGGAAGGATTGACGGCATACAAAGTGTCACCCATGCCTTGTCTGAAGGATCCTGCATGTAGGGCCCTCTGTGGTGTATTTATACCCACCCCGGTGTAGATATCACCTGTACAACGGAGTGGGATCGCGGGTGTCCCGCGGGGGTTGTGCGCGTATTGAGTACCTAGTATACTATGTACGATGTACATGCAGCAGATCAGATCCACCAAGCCTTGCCGCGCAGCGATGCACCACTATGTACGTATGTAACTAGCTGCCTGGCAGGCGGTGGAGCACAATGGGCCGAGTGAAGGTGCCGAGAGCGTAACAGATGAGGCTAGTATTATGTGCCAGGCTGTAGTGAGCGAGGAGACCAGGCGTTGGCATAGGTCCCATCCGTCGGCCACAGTCAAGCTGAACCCTTGACTATCCAGCTGTATCCAGGCAGAACCTCGTAACCAGAACTCGTTTTTTTCCCCTCGAAATCTCTGCGCTTATCATGTTTCCTTTCGAGAAGCATCTGACCGCATCGCATAACATGATTGTGAAAGCTCTCTTCATGTCGCCAAGTTCCACAGCTCCGAGACGGAGCAGCACGAGTTCGCCCAAGAGCTCCTCCAAGGGTTGTCCGACATTGTTTTCGTCAAGCTAGTGTTGCACGGCATCTCCAGGAGGGAGGACATATGACTCGACTGTTCATTTGGGTACATTGTTAGCCCCCTGCCCAGTCATCTCTCGGCAGGTGCTGACAACCTCCAGAACAAAGCCTTCTTCAGCCTTCCCCTTTGTATGGTTTTCGCTATCGGACTCCTGGAACGTACATCCATCACATTTACCATGCCGGGTGCTCCGAACCGGCTGGTCAAGTGTCTGGAACGGGTCGCCCTGGTGAACCAGGACGCGGTCCATACCGGCTGTCCGATGGCTTACGAGGCCATTGAGTTGGTAGTGGACCTGCGAGACGACGGCAAACGCGGAGGAGTGCGTTTTCTGGACGAGCGATTTGGCCCGACTTCATTGCCCTAAATTCAGGCGTTAACTGTGCTAATATCAAAGTGTAGGCAATGAAGTAGGCAAAATAATATTAGTTGATTACGCGTTACAGTTAGTACTCTAACAGTAGGGTTTCCACTACTAGTATATCTAAGGTTACTACTTGGTAATAGTATAATCGCTAAGCTTGCTGGTCTGTTAATTACTAAGTAATTATTTAGGTTGTTAATAGTTATATGGGTAGGTGGCTCATGGAGATGATCTTCACGAGATATCAAATCAGGACCAGTGCATACCGATACGCCCTCTTTAGGAGCGGAGTAGCGCCCTAAAAAGCTTGTCCAGACTTGGCGACAGCGAATCTAATATTTTGCATCGGCAAAAGCCCACTGCAGCTGGCCTGCGTTTAACGATTCCTAAACGGTCGAGTCGGATCGCTGTGCAGAACAACAATCAGCGGACCAACTTTAGTTGGAAGGCAGTTGGATGGCTCGACATTATTCCTTTTGCCGCAGGGATCGCATCTTGTTCGGCAGCATGAGCATCACACAAGGCATGGATGTACGCTAGCCGTTGACTGCGTGCTTCCACTCTGACCCGGGTTGCTGGTCAGCGCAAGTTCAGAGCTACTACATTGAGAACGTAGTCTACCTTACTCGAGCGGAACCTTTCAGCAGATTCGAAGGATGCGCTGTCCCGCCAGCGGACACTATGGGTGCAGGAAACCAGTGGTAAACTAGATCTGCCAAGACGCGACTGGGAGATGGGGGGAAATTGGGTTACTGTACGCAATCGGATTCATTATTAGGTTGCCCATATCACCGTCCACTTGCGGACTGTCTCGTTGAAATTTCGAGGTGCTTTGTCCTAGGCCGCACCACGGGGCACAAACGGCGCCTGAGCGGCGACGCTGACTGACTAAACAGCCCGAGGACGCTGGAATTAGAGTTTGGAAGAGGGATGGATGAGTCATGTGTCGTTGTCTTCAAGGGAATTGCCCTAAGCTCTATGATGTTTAAAGCGCGGTCATGGCTTGCAACACCAGCAGCGGTTGTGTAGTGTAGTGGTCATCACTCCGGATTTTGATCTCTGAATCACGCCTTCCGGCAACCCCGGTTCGAACCCGGGCACGACCTCTCACTTTTTGCATTCAATACTGACTGCTTTCAATCAATTTGGATGATTTTTGCCGTCCTCTATTTCTCTCTCTGCTTTGTTTTCTCTTGCTTTTCTTTCCTGAATTTGTACTATGCGTATTCTGTAGTCTTTTCTTAGTTGCCTGGGTACTCACGAAGATACTTATTAACCAATCACGAATAGCTTTAGAGAGCGTATCTATCTATCCCCTTTGTAGATGCTTGTGGGCATCTAATCCCTCTGTATCAATTAGCCTCAATTAGGCCCTAGTTGTACACGAATCTGCCAGCCCGAAGCACCACTGTTGTTGAGGCTTTTTCCTTTCTTTTCTTCTTCTTTTTTCTTCTTCTTCTTCTTTTTTCGCCCATCGATATAAGGTCCGTCTTGGGGTTGGCATCGCTAGATCCTTCGAACCGCCATTCCCCTTTCAATCCTAATTTAATCGACTTGGCAAAGAAAAAGAAAGACTTTCTCAGTTCGCTAAATGATGATACGGACTGGCTGCATTAATATGTACGCAGTTGGTCTATCTACGGTTACATGTGATGGCCAGAATCGCGCCTTAGTCTTCACGTCTCGTACGACTCTCTATCCCTTTAACGGCGCAAGCATTTCCTCACAAATCCCTAGCCAAAGTCCATGCATGTATCACGATCTTGCCGCCCATGCAATCAGCGCTGCCCCAACGCCACTGCCATCTCTGGCCATCCCTATCTTGATCACCCTGTCTCCACGGTCACCGATCTCGGGAATTTCCCCAAGTGCCTCTCGAATATGCTTCTCAAAGTTGGGAAAGTGCTCAATCAAGGATCCATCGACGCCAATATCAATGGTTTCAACCTCGTCCTCTAGATCACGCACGCCTTGACTCCCCGGGGTATTCGCCTGGCTCGAACACTGCTTTTTGGGGACGGTGATTCGGACCTTGACCCGGAGCCAGCTTGCCAGGAACCTCCAAAAGGTCTGAACGCCGTAGAGAATGGGCTTGAGGATGTTGATGCCCAGCCCCCAAGACGGCGAAAGCGACTGTGCGCCGGCGGTCTTTGGTTCAAAAATCCCAGACTGGAGGGCCACCCCGGCAATGGCGACGGAGGACAATCTCGCCGATCTCCGACCGATCGCTTCGGAGAGGATCTTGATGGCTTTCGCGTCGTTCGTCGACACACGGGCGGCTCCCAGCACTCTTGCTATTTCGCCGCGGGCGTGCTCTAGGTTGGGCGTGTCGTCCTGGACCACCAGAGATAAGAGCGAGCTGTCGATGCTGTCGGGCACGTGGAGCAACGAATTCGGGGAGACGTCAAATTCGAAAATCCCCGGCTGGGACTGGATCAGGTCGACGAGGACCCGCCGGAGTATTTCTCCCAGATACATGCCGGATATCCTCTTCTCAAAGTGCTGATCATCTGGGTTGACCGAGTCCCGGTCCAGCTCGCGATCGTACTTGGTCGTCGGCAGCACCTCGAGCTTGTTGTCGAAGCCACCCCACTCCGTGTTCAGAGCCATCACCGCGCCCGGCTCCGCGTCCCGGAACTCCTTTCTAGAATGCAGCTTGGTGATGCGCGAGATGCGTTCCATGTAGGCGCCGTTGGTCCCCGTCCCAAAGATTGCGCCTACAACGTTGCTAGACTGGCCCGGCGACGTATAGGCCCGGGTAGCCAGCGTGCCGACCGTGTCGTTGGCGAGAGCGGTGACCAGCAGAGGCAACTGCTGCTCGTCGAGGGCTTCTTGCAACATGGCGCAGGGATCGCGTCCTACTGCGTCGGCTATGTCGAACGACTTGGTCCAGTAGAGGAGAGTGCCCTTGTCGATGGCGTGTTGGTCAAAGGTGAAACTGAACGTAAAGCCTAAGCTCTTACAGTGCTTCTTTCGCGCTTCTTCAGTAACATTCTCCTCCTTCAGCACGCCGGCCCACATCTCCAGGTCCGAAGGACGATGCTTCTCCAAAAACGTCTTGACCTGCAGGGCGATGAACCTGAAAAGATCTTTGTAGGTTGGTGCCGTCATGAGATGTCTTGGGATCACCGACTTGGACTGGGTAAGAGAGTATGTGGAATCGCCGTTCAGCTCGACAGAACACACCCTTAGGTTGGTGCCGCCGAGGTCGATGGCCATACAAACGCCCTTTTCAGAGCCATTGGGAAGGTTTGTCACAAAGGACGGAATCTGGCACATCGAGGTGCCATCCTCTTGAAGCCCCTCATCTTGGTGATGTTAGTGCGTGTAAGTCAATGGGATACACAAAAGGTTTAGGTACGGACTAAGCTGCTTCAAAAAGTGGAATGTCGCGCGACGGACCTCTTCCGCCGGGAAGTCAAAGTCATGTGCGATCCTTCGGGCGTGAGCTACCGACTCGGGGACCCGGTCTTCCCTGAGATCGGCCAAAGACATTGGGAAACCGATTACAGAGAAGGCTGTTTGCTGTGCTGGTTGGACGCAGTGTTGGTTTCGAAAGCTAAGCTGGGGGTTTTCATGGGGGCGCCAATAACTCTCTCAGCAGGTTACCCGATCAAGTACTTACCCAAACATCTGCGGCCAAGTTTTTTGAGAGTTCTCGCTGGAGGCTTGGAACATGCACGAGAAGTAACGGCGTTCGGCGGGACGACATCTCATCTGAACACAGCAAAAACGGCACCTGTTTAGTCGACCGCACCGCTGGCAATATCACAACCCGGCAAACACGGACCGGATATGCCGGGTGGGCCGGGCCAAATTGCCCAGAAATTCCTCCAATGACGGTTCTTCGGCCTATCAGGGGAACCAGGTCCAGGCTTCCTCACAGCGCCAGCAGTCTGAATCTTCAAAAAGCCGGTGGTCCCCGGCGCAACCGGTGAACAACAACTCAACCCCCCGATCCCACACTGTTTCCCCGGTTCTCCCCCACACACAGAGAGCGCCCAGCAATTCCGGGCACAGGAAAGCCGCAAACCACCTGCGCTGTAACCGTGCTGCACACACGATAGAGTGGGACTTGGCAGCGTGCCAGTGCGTAAGCTGTTCGCATCATGTCAGCTCAGCAGACGAGAGACAAGATGGCGACCGGGCTTGAGCCGGAGGAGTCGGGCCTGAGCAAAGCCCGGAAGGCGTGTGGTAAGCCGTAACCCGTGCCCCCCTCCCCCTCCCCCAATGACACCCACTCTGGGTGGTTCCGTGGCTGTGGTGGTGGTGGCTGATGCTCGTGTTGCCAATTCAGTCAATTGCAGAAAGCAAAAGGTATGTTGAGTTGAGACCCATTGCCAAGTCTCGGCTCTGACGGGGGCCCCTTGAGGATATAGATGAAATGTAGAATCGAAAATGGGTCCACATGTCGACGATGCCTACGGGCAGGAGTGCCTTGCGTCTTCGTGCCCCGAGCCAACGTATGTTCCTCTCTCGTCCCGTCGTTTTCTCGGTCAGGCTGCGGCTTCGTCTGACAGTATATCGTGTTGTAGTCAGCTTCACATCGTGAAAGCATCTCGCTTGCGTCCTTCCTGCAGGCAAACGAGCAGAGTCCGTTGTTGAATAAGTCCGTCTTTCTCCGCCTCAAACGGATCGAAGAGCACTTGGGGCTCCCGCCCTTTAGCAATGGCGAGGAGGCCGAATCGCCCGCGTCTCCAGAGGCAATGATACTGGGGCCCGGGACGCCTGGAGAAAATTCACTGGGTGCTCTGTGGGGTGCAGTATCTGTACTTAGAAGAAGCTGCTCCTCCAATGTCAGCTCAAACATATGGGACAGAGCCACGATCAAGCGCTTATGGCTGTCGTATGTTCACCCTTCTACCAGCCCCAAGGCCAGCTTCCAGAACGCTCGCGCTAATGTTAGCAGATTCCATGAGTCCATGCCGGGGCTGCACTTTCTCCCAACAAAACAGACGTTCTCGTCTCCAAGACCGCTCATGTTGGCTTCTATGCTCTACTGCTCCAGCATCCGGGGCTCGCCTGACGTTGCCGTCTTGGCGCCGGACTATTTCGCCGTCTTGTGCAGTGCCATATCCCAGTTGTGCATACCGCACAGCGAAGTCGGCCAGACTCCCGACGACAAGGCTTCCGCGGAAGAATGGGCATTCCAGTCGGTGCTGGGCATCATTCTCGCCGGCCTGCTGAGGGAAGCTGTGGTGAAAGAGACCGGAGTCTGGATATCCCTCGCATACCGTCTCATCTTGGAGCATTGTCCGTCTCATACGGATGAACGATCTCGCGAGTGGCGACGGTTGTTCGCCGGACTACAGGTATGTTTAGAGCATTGCAGTTGTTGAGATTCGTATTAACGTCTCTAGATCGTGGATCTCGAACATGCGTCGATTCACCTATCCTGTCCTGTTATTCCCATTGAGGCGCCGCTTCCACGACTGAAGATCCCACTGCAGGATCAGCTATATCGGTTGTCGAGGATGATGCACACAGGTTTGACTCACTTCACGGGAAGAGGCCTTCCGACAATCTGGTCATGCTTCGAAAGCGAGCCCAGCGTGGCGCAGATCTCTTCTGTCTCCTTCAGCGGGGTCGACGGCGCTGTCATCCGCGACTGGGCACGGCAGCTCGACGACTGGCTCGTGGAGTTCAGCGACAAGGACTTTGAATCAGAGCACGAGAAGAAGCTCGTATTCCGGCAGTATATTCTGCATCGGCTCCTTGTTCTGTCTATTTATCACCCTGCGAGAGGTTGTAACCTCTTCTCGAACACGACCCCAAAAGAGCAGCATGAACTTCTGGTCTCTGCTCGAGCAGCCGTCAAACTCCAGATGTGCGACTCTTCGATATGGTCTAATTGGGATTTGGTCATGATCACATGGGCTGCTCTTATCGTACTTCAAGGAGTTGACGGAGGGGTAGGAGAACCCGAAGGTAAGTCGCCACGTGTTACACAAAGGCGCGTTGCCAAAGCTGACTTTCTGTTCACAGATTTAGAAAACGTAGGCGTTCACCTGCAAAGGTTGAAGGAGATGCACGAGCCAAAGCCCAGCCTGCGAGGAATGCTGGCTGCCCGGCTCGAGCAGAAGCTTCAAGGACTTCACACACCTGC